AATTTTGGAAATTAAATGTGGTAATGCTATATGTAGAAATTTTTAAAAAGTAAAGTCCAGTAGCAAAGAAGCTGGGCATATGACTATCCTAGTAAGTGAAGAAAACTTCAACAGAATAGTGGCAAAAGAATGGAGTGAAAGAATAAATTTAACATATATCAAAATGAGGGAAAACTGAAACATCATGATGGTTTGGATAAAGTGGTATTAAAAATAGATTTTCTATACTAAAAAAACAGTGGTGATATCACTGAAAGAAAAAGGGTAGTGAAAATAACCCATCGAAAGACATTGCAGCTCATTCTTGTAATACAACATTTAAACTTATATTCAGGCATTCAATTTGAAATGCATTGATTAAAGATTACTGGTCATACGGAACTTGAATTCTATGTAAAAGTCTAGCTGAAGAGGTATACTTGGCCGTTATTCACATAAAGCCCATAACAGTAGACAAGCTAACTGAAGCTCTTTATTAAGAACAATACATCTTTTTCTTTAAAAAATGTAAGCACATATTTATGTAAATAATTTTATTAGTTTAATATATTTTTCCAAAATTGAATTAAAACTCCTTTTTTTCCTTAGAGTGTCATCAAAAGCTTGTGCCTATAAAAAAATCTCTATACTTATATCAGTTATGAGGGTCAATGAGTCAAATGTGTTAATACTCATGAACTTTATCTTCTGTTTTAATAAAACAAAGATCTTTCCTAGTAGTAGACTGAGGGAATGAAATTGAGAACTTAAAGTCAAATAATTCAGTCAGTTAAAACTTTATAAAGTGGACATGGCTTTAATAATAATTAAAGTAATTGAATTGGGGGAAGTGTGCTGGTCTCCAGTTCCAAGAAACAGTATAGCACAAAGATCTGGCAGAAGAGCTGTAATAATAAACAGAAATTTGAAAACAGGAAGACTAGTTTTCCAAGAGTGCAACTGTGGCATTTTAAAAGAGATTTAACAAGAAATTCCAGAAGATGGCCAAAAATAGGTTTAGATAATTGCGATTCCTTATTTGAATACTTGTTTTTGATGGAGAAACACACTTTAGGGGAAGTGAAGGTTCTAAGGTCTGAAAATTTTTCTCAACATAAATCAAGTTTGCGTCAGAAGAAAACTAGTAGCCAAAAAACCAAGTAGGAATTCAGCATTGCTTAAATTGTAGGAGTTTAGAAAGTGACCAGAGCAACAAATTTTAAAAATGAATTGAAAGCGGATATCTTGGTTTACTGTTAGATAGAATTCCTATTTATAAAGCCAAAGTATCTTGCTCTGTTTATCCAGTTATTATTTGCCATGAAAAATAGCGTCCCATCATTACTCTACATCTTTGATTTTTAATGATTTGTAAAGAAACCAAAAATACTGCCAAATGTGGTGGTGCACACCTGTGTTCCCAGCACTTGGGAGCCTGAACCAGGAGGATCGCCACAAGTTTGAGGCCAGCGTGGGCTACATAGTGAGTTCAAGGCCAGCCTGAACTGTCTCAAAAAACAAAAAAGAAAGAAACCAAAAATGTTAATCCGTACTTCCAAAATAACCCTTAAAAACTTTAGTAATATGTCCTCTGGATCTATGAAGATGTTTGGGTATTTTGATCCTTTAACTACTTGATTAATACAAGTTTGGTGAACCTACAACCTCAAGTTGGATTAACCAGAACTGGAAATCATTTCCACTTTTTTTGTCCGAGTTACATCTGACTTGCATGCCCGGTGTGCTAACTTCTATATTTTCATGACTCTTAAATTATGGAGGTAAGTGAAGTTTTAATATCAATTATAGCCATGAGACACTCATTCTGAACTTGTATTCTCTCTCAATGTTTTTAATTACTAAGCATTTTTGTAGTGCTATGTTTTTATTAACAAATTATGTATATTCCAGTATGGCTGAGCTGTCTTACTGTGCTTAAATGTATAATTTTGTGTAACTTCCAGTGAGTTAGGGTTCCTGTATACATCTATATTTTCATCTCATTTTGGTATGAAATTATCCAAGTAAATTTGTAATAGAAAACACCATGAGATTTTCTTCTGTAGTCTGTTACTTGAGTCAGCTCGTCCAGACGATTATATAAATATTTTTACTCATCTTTGAATCTACCATAATTCTTGTTTTTCCAAGTATCTGTTCACCAAGACTATAGCTTTCCAAACATTTCAGGTCAGTCCATGAACCATTAGGTACCAAGCACTGGGGGGGAAGGGCGGAGGGGGGACACGGACTATAAAGCACTACTTAATTTTCATCTTAAAAGAACTCATGGAACCTGAGACATTACAATCAAATTTCTTTGGAATCTTTTTGTTATTGCTGCTGTTGTTGTCATTGTTCTGGGAATTGAACCCAGAACCTTGCTCATGCTTTGCAAATACTCTGTTGCTGAGTTACATTACATAAACGGTAAATCATGTCTACTTGGGAACCTAATGACAATTATGTTCTTTACAGAAGTGTTGAGAAATTATGAAGAGTAACAAAGTACAAAGTTTGTATTTGATATGTTTTACACAGCCAATATGGTGAAAAGCTGTTTGTCTTAATGATTTCTGGATTTGAGTTATTGGTATGAAATCTGAAGGTGCAGGAGACTACCCACCTAAAGGCCCTGTACAGTTAGACAAGTCTTAGTACATTTTAGTTTTAGTAGCCAAGTCCCATTTATTTTGCTCCATGTTTAGTTCCTTTTTGATTCTGTGCTATGCCTAATGCTTATTTCCTATTTGTACCCATGTAAGGTTTTAGCTTTTTGTCCATTAAAACACTTTTGTGAGCCAGGCATGGTGGTTTATAATTCCAGCACTCAGGAAACAGACAGGATCACAAGTTAGAGGCCAGTCTGGACTACATAGTAAAACGCTATCTCAAAAACAAAATAAAACAACTGACCCAAAAGATTTTGTGTTCTATCTCACAGTTTAGATAAATACTGTGTATTAAACCATTTTAGATGACGAGTACTTTAAGAAATTTGAACATAATTTTTCATCTTTAATAGTCCCAATGGTAGGCCTAGTATTTCTTTTTTTTTTTTTTTTTTGGTACCGGGGATCGAACTCAGGACCTTGAGCTTGCGAGGCAGGTGGCGGAACCACTGAGCTAAAACCCCGGCCCTGTATTTCTTGAAATATAATTCTATAACAAAATTGGTGGGTAGTTGTGATTTTTTACTACTTAATACCCCAGAAATCCATTTATCTTTAATAATATATTTTCATCTCTTCTCTGTATTTGTTGAGTTTTTTGTTTTAAAACACCAAGTTTAATGCTATATTGCTCTCTCCTGTGGGTGATCTGGCCCCAGGAAGATAATATAATTTCCTAAATTTATTCTTCAGAATTTCCTTAGTAGCTTCTGAGTTGCTGAATTTGCCACTACAGCCAACTTCCTCTACACATAGTAACTTTAAAATGTTCTTAGCAAATCTTTATTACCCTAGCATAGTCTTTGGTGATGTATATCTCTAGTGATATGACTATTTCTATTATTTGATGCCACAACCTGTACAGCATAGGGTTGGAAGCTGGGGAGAGTGGTGGGAGATGAAGAAAAAACGACAAAGAGACCAAGATTATTGTTGAAGTTTGGGACCAAGTAGAACCATAGGTTGTCGGGAGCTAATGGTTGCCTGGAGTACCACACGCTCTTTTATTTATAGTGGAAGCCAAACAGCAAGAGAAGGTGGGGCAAATAGTGCTACGTGGCCTATGTGCCCTATGTGGAAAGTAGGGTGATTGTTTCGTGATGGGGGCATGCGCAGGAAGGGGGCAGGAGAAGATGCAGTGTAACTGTTTCCTGGGACTGTGCATTCAGGGTCTACAATATGGAGGGGTCTCTAATCTATGGAGGAGAAAGGGAGCAGGGAAGAGATGAAGTACCATCTTCAGGCTCAGCCCACGGCAATTTTAGAGAATCAGTACAAAGGCAAAGCAAAGCAGAAGTTTATTAGATGTAAATGGTATGCAAGGAAAGTTAGAAATAGATTGATTCCCTAAACCAGTGGTGGCCAACCTATGGTATGCATGCTGTTTGATATCACTGAAAGCTCTAAAAGGTTTGCCATCCCTGTTTTAAACCATATATCTCACACTGGTTTCCCCCAAACATTATATACTACTTCAAGCTCCTGATTTCAGGTGTATTTTAAACACAGCCTGAATTTGTTCCAACTTTACCACTATAATTGTGACTTACATATTCAAGAGTGAAATTTATTTTATTTTTTATTTTATTTTATTTAATTTATTTATTTATTTATATATTTATTTATTTGGTACCGGGGATTGAACTTGGGTCCTTGCGCTTGCGCAGCAGGCGGTGAAACCACTGAGCTAAATCCCTGGCCCTCAAGAGTGAAATTTTGCACTAGATCTCCTTTTCAGAAAATCTTTCTATGAAGAACTTCCAATCCCTTATAAATTACTAAATTTCAAAAATGCCAAACTAAGCTGAATGTGGTGGTGTATGCCTATAATCCCAGCACTTTGGAGGCTGAGGCAGGAAGATTGCCTCCAGTTTGAGACCAGCTTGGGATTGCTACATAGTGAGTTCAAGACCAGCCTAAACTACATAGCAAGACGCCAGACCCTGTCTCAATTAAACAAAGGTGGCGGGTGGGGCCGGGGATTTAGCTCAATGGTTCCACCGCCTGCTGCGCAAGCGCAAGGACCCAGTTCAATCCCTGGTACCAAAAAAAAAAAAAAAACCCAGAATAAGAACAAAAGTGGAGGAGGGCAGGGGATGGGATGGATCCTAAGTTAAAATCTTTCTTGCCTTAGCCTTGTTGGTGATGTAAAGAAGCTGAAACAAACATAACAGAAATGGGAGACTAGAGGAGGCCCCAATATTGTTGTTAGGACTGACAAACCTTACTATGCCACTGTGATGATTTGTACATATGATTTATTAGAACAAGGTTTTCAGTGTAGTTGGCCAACACAAGCTTGTCATTATTTTCTTATAACTTAAAACAGACAAATTAATTCAGTTAAGAAGTTAAGAGTTAATTGGTAGGACCAAGGACATGCCTCAGTGGTAGAGTGCTTGCCTAGCATGCAGGAGATCCTGGGCTTGATCCCTAGCATCAAAAAAAAAAAAAAGACAAAAAACAAAAAAGTTAACTGGTATCCATATGAAAATCTCAGTCTCAGTCTCTCTCTCTCCCTCCCTCCCTCCCTCCCTCCCTCTCAGCAAAGCACTATACAGAATTAAACAGTGCCAATTTACTCAACTAGTTAAATCACACACATGGCAAAATTTTATCAGAATAGAAATATTGTGCTCTAGCAAATAATGTCAGCAAGGGAACTACACCAAACACAGGATCCCCAAAACTAAAACAAGTTGGCTTTTCTGCAGAAAGAAAGGGTTAAGCTGCCAAAAACAAAACAAAACAAAACAAAAAACGTATAGCATTTCAATTTTAAATCTTTTTTTGCCAACCTAGAACCCAGAAATCTGTAAGTAACCACTAGAAATTTCAGCCTAATTACTAAGTGGAAATGTTATGTGGTAGAGTAAAATCTGGGTCACTAGGAGAGACAATAGGTCATACTATGCCATAATAGCCTCCCCACTTCCCCAGTACCTCTTCACACGCTCTCTCAGGTATGGCTTTTTTAACAATAAGTATACATCCATATCATTTCATGAAAAGTAAATCTTACCAGAGCCTCACTCATTCAGCTCCCCCTCCACAGTTAACTTCTGTCATTGCTGAATTCTATGCATTTCTTTTTAAATGTTCATATATTTTTCCATAAATAGACACTATATACATTTTTTCCACTTGATACAATTTTTTTACTTGAGAGGTTTTTTACCCCACTTGTAAAGTCTGCCTCATTCTTTTTATGGACTGCATAATACTTCATAATATGAATCATAAGTTACCCATTTCATATTGAACTTTGATGTACTTTCTTACTTGAATATAAGTTACTCCGGAATAGGATTTTTGTCTTAATCTTTTTTTTGGTACCGGGGATCAAACTCGGGTCCTTCCACTTGCAAGGCAGGTGGCAGAATCACTGAGCTAAATCCCCAGCCCCTGTCTTAATCTTTTTAAAATCCTGAAAATTTACTATAATATTCAATATCAAAAATATTTTTGAATAAATTATATACTTTTAAGTGGTGTTAAGTGCTTCCATTCAACTTTTTACTCTTTGCAAAGCGTTTAGTGCTCTTTGACTTAGTGATTCTTTTTCTAGGTATTTATCCTAGTATTTAAAATGACACATATAACACCTGGAAGAGAAACTAAATCAAAGTATATGTGTATTTTAATGTTCGTAGAGGCTATTCTAAAGCTTTTCACCAAATTTAGGTATTAACTAGTAAAAAAAAAGTATTACTGCTCTCACCAAGTGTTTGGCACAGTACTTTACACATAGTAATATTAAAACCCTTTGAAGGTTACATTCAAGAATAATTTGTTTTTATGATGGTATATAATTCTATACAGAAGGGTGGCTGGGGGTATAGGTCAGTAGTAGAGTATGTGTTTGGCATGTGTGAGGCCCTGGGTTCAATCCCCAGCAACACAAAAACAAACAAAGTTGATTAATATGCCTAAGAAAGGAAGAAAACAAGGTCTCACAAAAGAGATGCAGTTGAAAGTGGTTGTCCATTTTCATCACCATTCTCATCACTAAGAGTTACTGAGTGCCTGTTATGTGCCAGTCAATATGAACACTTGACTCCTTTAATCCCCACATATCCTGAGATATCTTTATTATCCCAAATTAGTTGATAAGATTCTAAATGACATCTAAATTACATAACTAATAAATGAGCAGAAATTAGAAATAAGCACTGTGACTTTAGAGCCCATCTTTGAAAGGTCTGTTAAGTGTTCATAAAGGGAAAGAGGCACTGAATGTTGAAGGAACATATGCCAAAGCACCAAGTATACAGTGCTTTTTAGAGAGCAGCAGGGAGTTCGATGTGGCTTAAGTACTATTGGGCTTCCTTGCCCAGAGATGGCATGGTAGGAGATGAGGACAAAAAGTTGAGTACAGATTTGACTAACATTTATGCTCCAAATACAGGATTTTCAAACAAGAAAACGGCAGTTTCCCTTTAAGAGAAATGACTTCATTTCTTTTTCTCAGGTTGCTCTGGCAAGATGATAGTCTGGGTTTCCTGTTTTATTCATGGGGAGGACTTCAGGGCTTTTTATCCTTGTAAAGCTGTAGCATTCACTTTTGTCTTCAGAGGATATTGTTCTAATACTGACAAGATGAAAACCTTCTTTTAACAAACCGTCAATCAGTAAGCCAAGGACATTTGTTGTTGGCCAATTTTTGGTTATCAGGTTTTATAGCAACATACCTGGGGACAGACGCAAAAAGTTTAATTATAAAGCATCCCTTTAATAACACAACTACACATAAATTTACCTCTAACCTTCAACAAAGACACTTTTCAAGCTGATTTTTTTGAAACTTCATATAGAAATCCAAATCAGTAATTTGGGATACTGAAAAGAGCGACCTTGATGCAATTTCCAAAGTCATTTCAATTCCACATTTAGGAATGTAATCAACATTGATAAATTTTAATTGAAAAATTATGTTTCAGAGCAAGTAATTTGATCAAACTAAGTTGTCCTAATTTTTTATATATTGTAATTTAATTATTTTCAATTCACTGCTTTTAATCAATTTAATTGATCAAATTAATTGATTTTATCAATTTAATGAATACTTTGTACATTTTACAATAGTCTCCACAGATCTAATTTTACCAACTGCATTGACATTATGGTTTTTGTGTGTGTAACTTATTCCTGCCAAACCCACGTCTCAGGTAAAATTTTGCAAATATAAAATGTCAAAAAGATTTTAATTGTGTTTTTACTCAACACTGTTGAAGAGTAAAACTTGGGGCTAAAAAGCCTCTGGAGTGGAAATGCAACAAATAAAACAAAAAAATTTCATTCTCCTGGCAACTCCACAAAATTAATGCATATAATTTAAGAATTCCTGAGCTTTTCAGACTGGCTGTATGTTGGCTTGAAGGTCAATATAACACAACTGCATAGATGTGTAGCTATATTATTCCTTCCTTATCTGCCATCAAGGAAGTTATCTTTATCCTTCTACTGTTTATGAAATGTGAAGAAAATGCTAGATTAGTTCAAGGCAGAAACCTAAACTGTCTGTAGTCTATGAGGCAAAAAGATGCTTGGGAACATTCCCTTTTTAATGATCATGCCTACAATGGCATGGTAATTGTACCACACATTTAACAATCCCTTATTGGTAAAGAAGACAATTCAATAATAAAATCTAAGAATTATCAAACTACAAAGCACATTGCCAAAAAAGTTTATTGTTTGGTATAATACATTTTTTTTGTTTTGTTTGTTGTTTGTTGGTACCGGGGATCGAACTCTGGTTCTTGCACTTGCGCAACAGGCATCGAAACCACTGAGCTAAATCCCTAGCCCGGTATAATACATTTTTAACATTAATCATTTTTATCCCAAGGCCCAGACCTTGATTACATAGCCTAGAAACATTTGTCAGAGAGTGTTTCAGATTATCACAAAAGAATATACAAATAGTAAGTAGTAGATGTACCAAAGTAGAATGTACTGAAAAGTAAGTACATTGATTCCCTGTGAAGCCAAACTGAACAAGAAGATTCCAAGGCACCAAAAAAGAATGGACTTTAAAAAAAACATGGACTAAAACAAATGCAAATGATGGAGATTGAACCTGGGTCCTGGTACATCCTAGGCAGGCACTCCACCACTGAAGTATATTTAAAAAATTGTAAACGTGGGCTGAGGATTTAGCTCAGTGGCATTGCGCCTGCCTCGAAAGTGCAAGATCCTGAGTTCAATCCCGTGTGTATGTGTGTGTGTGTGAAACACTTAAAAATTTTAAAGGCAACTACATTTTTCCTTTTGATCCAATTTAGAAAGAGAGAGGCCAGATAGAATAAAGGCTACCAAAGAGACTCTAGAAGCATATAACTATAACTTGTGCTTGATAACATGCTATCACATAAATGGCCATCTGAAAGATGCTGACCCAATATTTCTAAGTACTATGAACTTAAATGATAATAAATGAGCAACTTCCTAGGTTAACAAGACCATAGAGTGGTAAATCAAACTGGTGGGGGATAGTGCATTAGCTAGATGATGACACATTACATTAGGACCCCTTTGGGCTTACTCTATCTACCACGTTCCACTTTCCAAAAACATCTGAATAGATTCAGATCAGGAAGTGAGCAAAACTTTAAATGACTGCTAATTAGGCTGTTATATACTCAACAGTGGGCCTTTTAAGGCCAAAATTTTCACCCAATCACCACAGATTCCCATAATATCACTTTATTAAGATTATCTATACTTTGAAACTAGCAAATATTAAAAAAATTATAGATTCAGGATGAAAAAAATCTGATCTTAAAACAACTAAAAAGAATACCATATAGTGCTGCAAAAATAAAAATAGCTTCTGGTTTTAGAATTATATGTTGGGGAAGTTTAAATATAATGCCTTTCTCACATAAAGATTTTTTTTTTTAATTGCTGATTCTATAACATAAGCACTTAATAGGAAACCATTTAGCATTGTGTACACACAAGAATAGTTCAATTTCAGTTTCTAATGTTTTTCAAAATTACTATTAGGGCAAGAGATGTAGTTCAGTGGTAGACTGCTTTCTTAGCAGGCATAAAACCCTGGGTTTGATTCCCAGCAAAACATACACACCACAATTACTGTCTCCAAATGAAGTTTTTAAAGTGCATTTAGCTCTAAGACTTTTTTTTTAACCTAGAATTTTTCTCCTTAAAATCAATGACACTATTTTCCCTTGGGTTCCTAACTTTTTGAAAGAGGATCTCAAAAGATGTCATAATCACTTTATCTTTTATTTCTTTTAAGACACTCTCACTGTCAAGGTAGCCCAGGCTGACCTTGAACCTTCTGAAGTGTTGAGATTACTGGTGTGCACCACAATTCCTGGTTCTTTATCAAATAATTGGTCATTTTTCCTTTACATATCCCACTCTAAAGCTGTGCACACATAGTTAAAATAGTCTGAGAAAAAGATCAGGTCTTAAAATTTTCTTCACAATCAGCCTATTAATTTGGCTCTCATTTCCCAAAATGACATTTCGACTTTAAAAGGTTACTTTAATAAGTATAAAAATTTATGAGCTTGGGCCAGGGATTTAGCCCAGTGGTTTCGCCGCCTGCTGCGCAAGCACAAAGACCTGAGTTCGATTCCTGTTACCAAAAAAAAAATATATATATATATATA